AAGCAAAATCATTACAAGCTCAGCAAGCATGTCTTAAAGCAAACAAATTTTGACAAAAAAGATACTAACAGTGGCAAAGATTGGACTATAATTTTTAAATAAAAAAAATAAACGGACTTTAATCTTCACCCTTTTAAGTGCAGAAACTAAATCTTTTCCAGAGTACAGGGACCAAGTACATATTTTGACCAATTAGAGCCCCTAATTGAATCAATTATGCTTGAATGTAAAACCTGTGAGCATAAAAGAATGTACTGTTGCAGGGCCAAGCTGTTAAAAAGAGGCTCCACTTTTGAATGCCTCTTACTAGAATAAGGATCGACAGTGTCAAAATTAACTCGAGACGAAATATCATGTTGATCTGCCGAAAATGAAAGAAGTTATATTAAAATAAAGCTCTCATGAATTGCAAGGAAACCAAAAAATGAAATATCATGTTAATCTGTCGAAAAAGAAAGAAGTTATATTAAAATAAAGCTCTCATGAATTGCAAGGAAACCAAGAAAAAGAGTCGACGTACCTCCTTTCTCGTATGGCTACTACCTTCAGATAAATCCTCAACCAAACCTTATTCTCCTCTAGAATCTGATGACGATGTAGTTTGCGGGCTTTCTGGACCACTATCTTCTCCATCTCCCAATGGTATTGATTTTTCTCCTCTAGTAGAATTTATTCTTTTTAACAAATATTCCTCCCTGGTCGATTCCCTCAGTTATTTTTATTGCAACTCATTCGAAACCTGAATGACATAAAAGAGAAATAGAATACCACCTGCCAGGATGAGTAACAACCATCAACCAGTTTATTAGTTCTGCCCTGAAATCCACCCTCTAATCCTTGTCGGAAAACCACCCAATCCTATAGAAGATCTCGGATTAGAGAATGCCACCAAAATTTGTATGAAGGTAATAAACTTAACGAATTGCAGTGACATGGCCTTACAGTTAAGCTAGACAAATCCAGACGATCGACCTCGTTGATCAGAATCATTGTAGCCAACCCACAAAAGGTGTACCTGACAAACAAATTAACAGAACTTCAGGAGGCTTTCTCATACAAGATATCAACAATTCCAAAGCGAAATATTAGTAGATGGTATACATGAAGAAGTAAACAATGAATCAAATTTCAAGGAAAGGTATTAAATTTATAAGTTGAGAGAAGTAGTGAAAAGAGGGCAGAACACCCCCCCATGAGCTTCAGAACCAGGTTCCCCAGAAATGCCACCTTCGCAAGTCTGGCAAAGTCAAAAAGATGAAAAAACAATTTCAGTCACATGGATAACACAACAGGAATCAAGACACAGCTCACCTATACATTAAGAATATGCATTCAGACCAAGGGCAATGCATTCCATGATATTATTTTAACATATAAGCCAAAGACCAAGTGCAGCGATGCCATTGAAGCAGAGTGACAATGGTGTACTAATAAGGACACTAAGAGCTTTCGTTTTTCTTTTTGGTACTCAAGGTTGCGAGGGATGGACCCTTGTAGTGACTAGCACTCTATGAGCAGAGAACACAGCTATTGGTAAACACTAAGAGAGTATGAATTTTCCTTGGTAATGTAGAAAATAGACTGTAGAAAATAGACAAGTATGTTATTTTTATTCTTATGTACATTCAGTAGAACATATTACATATTTATATACAAATTATGTCTCTAAACTAGGAAACTCTAAGAAAGGAAACTAATCCTAGGAGATGTCATCCCTTGAAATAAGGGATTGAAAAACAGAAAATAATTACAGAATCTCTTAACTTAAGGGATTGATAACTCATTTCTATAATTCCTACACTCCCCCTCAAACTGGTGTATATATGTTGTATTGACCCAGTTTGAAAGACATCTCATCAAAAGTCACTCGTGGAAGGGCTTTGGTGAAGATATCTGCCAGCTGTTTCTTCGTCGGAATGTACTGCAGTTTTGCAACTCCATTGTTGACCTTCTCGTAAATAAAATGTTTTTCTATCTCAATGTGTTTCGTTCTATCATGCTGCACTGGGTTTTTCGCTATACTCATAGCTGATTGACTGTCACTAAAAATCTCAAAATTCTTCTTGTCATCTAAGTCCAGTTCTATGAGCAGTCTTTTAATCCACATTCCTTCACATATTCCGAGAGCCATTTCTCTAAACTCTGACTCAGCACTACTTCGAGAGACAACAGCTTGTTTCTTACTTCTCCAAGTCACCAAATTACCCCAAACGTAGGTACAGTAGCCACTAACTGACCTTCTATCAGTTAATTCACCTCCCCAGCTTGCATCCGTATAAACCTTCACTGTTCTATCTTGATTTTTTCTAAATATAAGTCTAGCTCCTAGGGTAAATTTCAAGAACCTTAAAATTCTGTTAACAGCTTCCAAATGTTCTTCTCGATGATCACTCATATATTGGCTGACAATGCTCACTGAGTATGCAATATCAGGCCTAGTCAGTGAAAGGTAAATTAACTTCCCAAATAACCTTTGGTAGGTTTCCTTGTTTACTGGATTTCCAGTCCTTTCCTTGCAAAATTGCAAGCCTGGTTCCATTGGAGTTTCAACTGGTTTGCAGTCGAGCATCCCAGTTTCTGCAAGAAGATCCAAAACATACTTACGCTGGTTTATGACCAGTCCTTTCTCGGACCTTGCAACTTCCATACCCAGGAAATACCTCATACTCCCTAAATCCTTGGTTTCAAACTCCTTTGCAAGATTCATCTTTAGCTTTTCTATTTCTTATATATCACTTCCAGTTATAATCATATCATCTACATAGACAATTAGGAGGGTTATCTTACCACTCGGTGTAATTTTTCTGAATAATGTGTGATCCGCTTGGCTTTGTTTGAAACCATTATGTGTCATAGCCTTAGCAAATCGATCAAACCAAGCCCTGGGAGACTATTTTAAGCCATATAAGGATTTATTGAGCTTGCACACAATTTTCTTAGTGACCTTTCCTTCTAATCCGGAGGGGACCTCCATGTATACCTCTTCTTCAAGGTTCCCATTCAGAAAAGCATTCTTTATGTCCAACTGATGCAATTTCCAGTCCATGTTAACAGCTACTAATAACAATATTCTGATGGTATTCAATTTTGCAACCGGTGCAAAAGTCTCCTGGTAGTCGATGCCATAGGACTGAGAAAAACCTTTAGCAACCAGCCTTGCCTTGTATCTTTCCACACTCCCATCCGAATGATATTTGACTGTGAATATCCACATGCATCCAACAGCTCTCTTCCCTTTTGGCAAATCTGTCAAACTCCATGTCTTATTCTTTTGCAATGCTTTTATCTCTTCTTCCACAGCCTTTTTCCACTCAGGAGATTGAAATGCTTCTGTCACATTTCTTGGGATTTTCACAGTGTTAATGCTGGCAGTGAAGGCCCTGAAATTAGACTGTAATTTCCCATATGCAACATACTTATTTATGGGATGAGTAGTGCATTTTCTTACCCCCTTCCTAATAGCAATAGAAAAGTCATCAAGATCAACAGTAGTAGCCTCTTGGTAACCATCATTACCTTCTGTTTCAGCTGCAACAAGATCTGAATCTGGTTCTTGGCAAATGCTAGGCTGACTGATTTCTTCAGCAACATCTTTCCTTTTTCTTGAGTAAACACTGAGTTGTTTCGGTTGGGGAGTTATGGTTTCAGGGTCATTGTTAGGTGCATTTTTGGTAGTGGTGGAAGGTGTTTTGCACGGACTAGAGTGCTGAGATAAGGAGGAAGGTAATTCATCAGAGTTATTTAGGTTATTCCCATCATCTTCCCTAGGAACTGGGACAATGCTAGCCGGCTTTGGAGAGACAGTAATAGGTAAGGAAAGGATAGGCTGTAAAGAAATATCGGTTTAAACAGGCTGAAATTCCTTGTAACTCTCCCCTTGAATTTTTGTTCCTGAAAAATAAGGTTGGTTTTCAAAAAATGTAACATCAAAGGAGACATAGGTCTTTTTTTTGGAAGCTGAGTAACACTTGTAACCCTTCTGACTCGAAGAATAGCCCAAGAACACACAATTTATGGACTTAGTATCTAATTTCCCTCTGTTGTGGATATGAACAAAGGCTGTACACCCAAACACCCGAGGAGAAAGACTTGAGTTTAAATGTTTAAAATGGGGATACAGCTGAAACAGAACCTTAGTAGAAATTTTGAAATCTAAGGTCTTACTTGGCATTCGATTGATGAGGTAAGTGGCTGTAAGAAGAGCTTCCCCCAAAGATACTTAGGAGCATTAACAGCAAACATAAGAGACCTAGTAACCTCTAGAAGATGTCTATTTTTCCTTTCTGCTATCCCGTTTTGTTGAGGTGTGTTGACACAAGAAGTAAGGTGAACAATGCCTTTTTCCTTAAAGAAATACCCAAGGGTTTTATTCAAATACTCACTCCCATTATCACTCCTTAGAATTTTGATTTTTGTGTCAAATTGGGTTTCAACTTTTTGATAAAAACTTTTAAAGAGAGACTCAACCTCAGATTTTTCTCTCATTAAGAAAACTCATGTTGTCCTAAAGTAATCATCTATAAAAGACACAAACCACTTATACCCAAAAATACTTTTGACATAAGAAGGGCCCCAAATGTCACTATGGATGATGAAAAAAGGTGTTGTTGGTTCAAATTTGGCTGGAATATATGATTTTCTGGTGTGTTTGGCCATTTGAAAATTTTCACAGGAAAACAAAGATGGATCTTTATTAATGAATAAGTTTGGTAACATTTTGGAAAGATAGAAAAAATTAGGATGACCTAATCTAGAGTGCCATAACATAATTTTATTGGTATTGAGATCAAAAGATAAAATTGGTTCCCTAAGAGCATTGGATAAGGTATGATTATGAGATGCTTTACCTCCAAGGGTGTACAATACTTTGCCCAGCCTAGCACTGCCAATCACCCTCTTCGAGCCCTGTGCCTGAAAAATGCAACCACCAGTACCAAACACAACATTACAACCAAAATCTTTAATTAATTTGCTGACTGACAACAGATTGCATGCAAGTCTAAGAACATAGAGGACATTATGAAGTAGTAGATTTTTGTTTAATGTAATAGAACTACTCCCTTTGAATGTAGTGAGAGAGCAATCTGCTATTTTGATAGAAGCTGGTAAGCTTCTTTCACTATATTCCTCCAAGAGATCAATATTTCCTGTCATATGATCTGATGCACCCGAGTCTATTATCCATTGTACCGAGGAAGCATATGGATTATTTCCATCAGTGGTAGTATAAGTCACATTTGTAGGCTTGGTTGTTATACTACTCAAATTTTACTACAGTTCCTCCATCTGTTTCTTGCTAAAACTGCTTGAGGAATCATCTTGAGAGGCAATATGAGGCTCCTTTTGAAACCTGGACCGTGTGGGCTGCCAATCGGCTGGTTTTCCGTGCAGCTTCCAACATTGATCTATCATATGGCCTGGCTTCTTACAATGTTCACACCAAAGGCGATTTTTCCTCTGTTGCTTTGAAAATTTGAAATCTAAAATCTGAAAATCAGATTGAGAGGGGTTGGTCTGGGAAGTGATTTCGGATGCTGAGGGATCCAGATTAGCCATAAAAAAAATAGAGTTGAATATGAATTGATTTAAAGAAAAGCGGAAATCAGATTGATCGCTCTAACCTGATACCATGTAGAAAACAGACTGTGTAGAAAACAGACTGTAGAAAACACAAGTCTGTTATTTTTATTCTTATGTACATTCAGTAGAACATATTACATATTTATATACAAATTATGCCTCTAAACTAGGAAACTCTAAGAAAGGAAACTAATCCTAGGAGATGTAATCCCTTGAAATAAGGGATTAAAAAATAGAAAATAATTACAGAATCTCTTAACTTAAGGGATTGACAACTCATTTCTATAATTCATATAGGTAATAACAGTATTATTCATCCTAAACGAAGCACAATAAAAACACATTGAGGTTCTGGTCTCTCTTTGCACTATTAAAGATTATGAGATCCAACCCATTGATTCTTTCCTGAGATGTTCAGATAAAGCATTGGTACTGGAGAATGAGGCATATGAGTAGAGCTTCCAACCTTGAAGCACCTAAGATGAAGGTTTAACAAATTTTACGCATGCCACATCAATAAATGCTCTTTCTAGCAGCAACAAAACATAGAAAATGGACATGCAAAACAATTAAACCTAAAACAGATTTTAAGACGAAGAAAGAGAAAAAAAAATTAGCTACCGTAAATAGTACCTCTATAAGAAGTGGAAGCTAGAAACTTACCTTAAATGTAATTTCCAACATTTTAACCAAGTTCATCATCCAAAATATTCAAAAGACTTGCAACCTGGTCAAGAAAAGATGCTGACTTACCGCAAAGACATAATAACATTGAAAAAAGTGGCATATAATTTATAAACAGAAACAAGTTACATATATGCAACCCAAAGGAAACAATAGATCTACAACAATTATAGGAGTTTTCCAAACAAAATAGTGATAGTATTAACTTTTCAGCATCACTGCATACATACTGAGATGGCTGTATAACATGCTCGAACGTCAATTTCTCCACCATCATGCATTCTGTGAAAGAAATGATCAATAATGCTTAAAATTACAATATGAACAATGTTTCAAGGAAAAGGATAGGAAAAAGTTGCATTTTCCTCATAGTAAGAACTTGATGCCATGTACTTAAATGTAAGTAGATTCAACTGTAAAGAACATTAACCTCCAAATACAAAATCATTCTTAACAAAGTAACTTCAAAGACAAAAGCAAATTACAATAAATCTGTTAGAAAGTGGTTTCAAACTTGAAAAAAGATGAAATGTGTTAAACCTGAAACCCCCACTATCATCTTCCATTTGCCGCATAAATGAGTAGAGCTTTTCTCTGAAGGAAATTATAAATTTCTGTTAAATAGCTTTTAATAAAAACTTCAAAATACACTTGTTGCATAAACCACCTATTAATTGATCACAACACTTTGTCACTGCCCAAAGTAACAAGTGAATTGACTGCATCATATGTTGTTGAAAGATTAGGCATCTGGAAAATTAAATGATAGAGTCGATTAGTTTTCTCATATACAATTAAAATTGGCACAGCTTCAAAGGCAGTAAAAGGAAACTCAAACAAAATAGGATAGAATGCTTCATATAAAAAGGAATCAGTCAAAAATAGGACACCACCACTTATTACTGTCGGTATGTTAGAGTTTAACAATGATCATATCCAAAATTTACTTGCCTGTCCAGGTCCACCACCATAACCACCATTAGGATGTAAAAATTAAGAAAAAATATTCAAAGTGTTAGATAACCATTCAAAAAAAAAGAAAGAAAGATAGAAACCAAATGCAGATGGTGCTCAAGCACCAAAGCTAGTTGGCTATGTTTTACTCAGACTCGAGTGTGTGTTGGATAATGCTATATGGGTATTGCCTGACACGTGTATAGTCGGGTATTTTTCTTGGAGGATCCCTAGAGGTCATATTCTCATACCAATGTGTCACACACCAATTTCGGATATGATTATTTCAAGAACAATGAAGAGCTAGATCAACATAACTAGTTGGTGCCTGATGAGGTTTGAGCACCATCGGCACCAACTGGTGAGTAACATGCTCTAAGTAAAAAATGGAGTAGGGCACAAGCACAAGCACAAACACAAGGGCAAATCAATCAATGTACATAAGCACAAAACTTCCCTTAAATAATGCATTTCTCCCATATAAGGAAACCATATATCCAACCAAGAGAAGTACCATGTAGTAAGATATAGGAATAGAAATAAATCAACTAAACTATCAAACAAAATAAATGCAACCATCTACAATCTTGCAATACTAGCTTTAATCTTCCAACTAACAACTACAACATACTAAGCATTTCCTGATTCATTAGATCAGCCATGTGAATCATAGTGAATATATGTTCCATTTAAGACCATATCCTACTAACTTAGTAACATCAATCACTCTTCAAAAAGAAAAAAAATGGCTAAAGTGATTATTTCACATAAAATGATGTTTTGTTCCAATTGATATAATCATACATATGTATAATTCAAACTTTTATAAACTTTACTACCTGACAACGGCTAAGAAAATAAATAGTATTATCTTCCAATTCAGGATCTACAAACTCGTTCATTAAAGCAATCGAATGAAGTATCCAATAACAAATCCAAGGGTGACTGCAAATTAAGCAATTAAAAGTTTAAAAATTCATTCTAATTTTAATAAGTTAAAGTACAGCTTAAAAAAGCTAAAAACAACTTACATTTACTTGGCATCCAGTACGCAGAAAGAAGGATCGAGCTGCTTTAATCCATTCGTTAAGTACTCCAAATGATTTTCTCGTTGAAGCTCCAACCTAAAAAAAAGCTGAATTTAAATTCAAATAAGAAAAAAAGTTACTAATATTTAGGGTTTTAGGATTTACATGAAGGATTAGGAATTGTGAGGCATGTTGTAGACTTGTTGCTCAACCAATATCTAATCGCACTGAGTTAAGGTAGGACTCGAGTACGATTCCATGGTTTCAAAATTACCGCCGGTGAACGGTGGACTGAGACTCTGAGTTGGCAACTTGCTTTGGTTGCAGAGAAAAATGGAGGACAAAAATAAAAATAAAAAAGGAAGTAAAAGTGGGAGATAATTTAACTGTTTGGTAACGGAGATAAGTTGGTTACGCGTGAGAATATCTTTCTCCATAAACTGTGAATATTCAGAAACGACAATATCAAAAAAAAAAGGTAAACTACTTAGTACCTAAACTATCAGTTTTGATTCATTTTAGTACTTAAATTTTAATTTTTTTTTTCAAAATCATATCTATGTTTAATTTTTTCTACATTTTAGTACACCGATAAAAATTTAAAGCTAAATTTTGAAATTTTTTTGAAAGTTTAGGTACTAAAACGGACTAAATCTGATAGTATAGGTACTAAACGCGATAAGTTTTTAACGACATGATATTAAAATGAAACAAAAACTAAACATTAGGTATGATTTTGAAAACAATGAAAGTTTAGGTACTAAAACTGATAAAAACTGATAGTTTATGTAATAAACACGTAGTTTACCCAGAAAATACATCTAACGATCAATTAAATAGTCATTTGGATCGTATAACATTTTATTTTTAGGGAAAAAATTAATGTTTGACTAAAAAATCGCTTTATCCCTAGTTTTTTTTAATATTTTGATCGTCAATGTTTTTATTTTAGGACAAAAACTCTTTTTTTATTAATCTGAGGGTAAGTGTAACACCCTTGACTCGTACCCGACCCAGATACGAATCCGAGGTGTCATATTTGACTTTTCAAATATACGAAATTCAAAAATATGTATAATTTTTAAAACTTATTGTTCCAATAATGATAAAGAAAATAATACCATTCCAAATATAAAATCATTTCACATAAAATCTTAATAATTTACATAGATAACCCAAAAGTAAGAGTTTACAAAATCGACCAGAGCATTTCAAATTAAATGTATAATGCATGCCAACAGTTTACAAAATAAACAAAACCTACATTTAATTTGTATTGAGTTGATCTTCAGAAGTGTATGCTATCCTCAACCCCAAATCAATCATCAGCTTTCTTCAAACCTACGCGCGAGAAAACACACGCTAAGTCAATGACTTAGTGAGGCAATACTAATAGTGCTAACTTATTAACAGGAATCTTATTTATTGTATTCAAAATGTTTTTTTCAAAGAGCTTTCTTGAATTCCATATCAAAGATATACTTATGAATAATTATACTTTGTATGTCTCTGTTCCAATTGTCCAAAGTATACTACTGAGAAATCTAGGTGTAACATCCCAAAACTATAGCAAGTGACTAAAATGGAAGTTTTGAAAATTCGAAGTCTGATTTTGAAAGATTTGAAATATTTTTTTATTGTTCAGTAAAAAACTGATGGAATAAGGGGTATAATGATCATTTGACAAAGAAATTTTTTTATTTTCCCTTATAAAAGAAGTAGACACGTGGAGAGGAGAAGAAAAATCAGAAGACTCTGGAGATGCTTGGCATTCTTCTTCCTTTCTTCCCGTGGCTCCATTGGTAAGGTAAGATTATGTCAATTGATTGTTTCCTTTCAATTTGAAGTTGGGTTTAATTCTTGAGATGATACTTAAGCTTAAGGAAAGCTTAATTTGTCTTAAAACCATAAGATGAAGGAGTTAAGAGAGATTAAAGATTAGAACTTTTTAAATGAAATTTTGGAAAAGAGTTTATAAGTAGAATTTGAAGTTAGATTTGACTTGTCAAAGGGTTAATTAAGAAGTTAGAGGTGATATAATTGAATTAAGAACACATGGAAAATTTGATGAAATTCTTTGATTCAAGAATTATGGTGAATTATGAGGGATAGTGAAGTGTTATAGTGTTATAAGAAGGTTTACACATGTATAGATAAGTTTTAAGGCATAAGGAGGGGTTAATAAGTAGAATTTGAGGACAAAGTAAGAATTTTCGGGCTCAAAATGTAATTTTTGGGTTGTGTGCATCGATGTATCTTCAATGTGTATCGATACACTCTCAAATAAATAAACATCGAATGCAAATAGTGCATCGATGCTCCCCCTTAAGATTAAAACATCGAAGGTGATTTGTGTACAGATGCATGGGTAGTGCATCGATACACATGTTAAGAGATGCATTGATACACTGTAGAATGTACCGATGCACTTCAAGGGGAAATAGAATTAGACCTTTCTTTTGGTCTATGAAATGATAGATTAGAATACCTCAATTGGACACTGATATGTATCAATGTATAATTATGTAGATATCGAGCACGAACAAGTTCCGGGACGACTATCAGGTTAAGATTCGATCGAAAGAAATGAATCATAAAAGAGGATTGGAACTTAGTGAGGCAAAGGTGAGTGCATACTATTGGAATATATGTATTTCTAAATGGGAATTAGACTTGTGATAAGTCCGTTCCCGATATTTTGAATATATGATAGCATGAGTCGAAGCATGATTAGGATTGTGTACTATGTGAATGTGCCATGCTTGCATTACATATTATGCGATGTGCATTTATGTGTTATATGATAACGATTTAGGAAACAATATAGGAATATTATTTGAGTTAATTAATAATAAGTAATAAGATTGCATGCATGTTTAATATAAGTTTTAAGATGGGAAAATATGTATTTTATATGTATACGAGAAGATATAAAAACAAGAAACAAGTCAAGTGATAAAGGAATATGAAATTGTATGAAACGTGAAATAAGCTATGTGATTAAATGAGAAATGATATGAGCACATGTATATGTGATTATGAATGACAGGAATATGAGAAAAGGTATATGTGACATGTGAATTATATGGAAGTGAACTACGCAACTATGTGATCATATGAAATGTGATAAGAAGCTATGTGCCTATGTGATAAGAATATGTGAAATGATATAAAGATAATTCCCATGTTTTGTGTTATGAGATCTAGAGATATAGTTGGCATGCCAAGAGTCGAGGGATTAACAATGGTCCTGTAATCCCCTCACACCGATGCGGGTAATCCGATCTGATCCAGAAAGTCACATTAGGGCCACCGGAGTGACCCACCGTAAAAATAGCAGAAAATTTAAAACTTTTTATCAGAACATGTAAACTTATAAAATGATGTATCAATATAAAAAAATAAAATAGATTTTCAGACTCGTACATAAAAGAAATTCAATTACATGCCCCCTAATAACATATACCATACTCTATAAGCAACGCCGGAAAAACTCCCTTGCTGATGTTGATAGTTGTACTGGTACAATTCTTTTAACCTGAAAAGGTGAGTAACAGAGTGAGCTTTGGAAAGCTCAATAATACAAAACTACCAGATGATGCTGAAGAACGTTCAGATACAGATAAACATGCATTTCCTTATTGGTTCAGATATTTACAGATTTCTTTGGCTGAGCTGAGGTCCATTGATATCGCAGGTAAAATAGATAGTATTCAGTTAAGATGGAAATATTTGGGATGTTTAAGTTCAGGAGATCAGAATAGGTTATCTAGTGTGTTCCTATAAAACTAGTAAAAATATACAGATCTTTTAAAACATATATATATATACCCCCATTCTTTCACAATCTGTTTGTGTAGGTTCCCCAGAACCATACACCCAACCCACACAACCTGTAAGGCCCTGAGCACAAAGACGAGGAACTTGCAGAAATACTTCCTTCAATAATACCCCCCAATTAAAACATTTTTCCGTCAGTGAACGAAGATATCAAAAAATCAAAACAGAATTCAGAACAGATATCATAACAGAATCCAGATCAGAAATCAGAACAGAATTCAGGTCATGTATCAGAACAGAATTCAAGTCGAAAATCAAATAAAATATTTATATGATTAGGGAACACACCAGAGTTTAGAAATATTATTTATAAGTACTGGATAATCTTAACAGGCAGAGAAATACGGATCTTTAGTATACCGATAGAATGTCAGAATTTAGAATCCCTATAGGAAGAGTTCAATAACTAACGGATTCATCAATTGTTCAGAATATGGCTTGAGCTGATAAAGAAGAAATGAAGGTTCAAGATATTTATAGTCTATATCGATTGATCGGATTATCGAACAACTCTCAGATGAATAGTTCCCAGAACTAATATTTGTCGACTAGTCAATTCATTGTCCTTCCAGGGTATTTAGTTTTTAATTCCAAAAATTCTTATACATAGATCACCTTCGGAATCATTGCTGAATAGATCTTAAGGAAATTAACAGATATTCCAGTACTTTTTATTTCATTTTCACGCTTCCACGATATCATGAAATGCTGACGTACTTGATTTGTAGTTCATGATCCATAAGAACATTACATCATGTTTGTTCATTAATGTTTCCAGACTCATCCAAATCACTTACTTAATTCTTAGTCCTTGAGGTTACTTAATTCATTTAGTAGTTAAGTATATTCCAGTTACTTCTAAGTTTTCCAAGGTAATCCAGACGTTTCTGAATTTCAGATACATACTGTACTTTTGTTCAATTCAAATTGGTCTCCATGATCGATTTGTCTAATGAATATACATTCTTAGTACTAAATGGGATCTAGAGTTGAGCTGAATACTTCAAATATTATCTTCGAGCCACACTTGAGAAGACGAACACACATTCAAGTAATACCTATGTCGTTCAGGTACTGACATATCATTGGGGCTGATCGGCTAACTTAAGTTGTTTCCATAACTTTTAAGGGTAGTATAACACCCATATTTACTTGGATTTCTTAGTTAATCTAAAACATCTACTTAGTCTAGACCATAAGGGTATTTTGGTCATTCTGGTGCTCAGTTTTATTCCATTAATTTCAGATCTTGAGGATATTCAATCTTTCCTGAGGTTGGTGATATTCTTGGTTATTTCCATTCCAGGAGTATTCTGGTCATTTTACAGATCCAGTGTATTTCAATCATTTCTTACCGTCCGATCATATTATTATTAAATTCAAACTTATCATTTATTTCTATCCATTCGAACAATTCTGACAAAAGAATACCCTCGATAAATTGTTCTTCAGGTATTTACTCATAACTCATATATTTCCGGTCAAGTGCTTTCTCACAAACGTATTATCAGGAATTTTCCGCACTAAGTCAGGATCTTAACAATCA